TGCCGCGGAGCCAGGTGCGGCCGCTCGCGCTGGCGACGCTGCGTCGGCCCCGCCCCGGGGCGGATCCCAGGTGCGCCCCGCCCCCCGGACCCCGAGCGGCCCCCAGCCGGCGGGTGCCCCGCGCGGGGCGGGCCCGGATCGCAGCCGGCGATCGCGGGGGGAGGCTGCGGCTGAGAGTGTGTGTGTGTGTGTGTGTGTGTGTGTGTGTGTGCGCGCGCGCGCCTGGGACACCGGACAGGATTAGGGACCCTCTATTCGAGAACGCGCGTGCAGGGCCGCAGTGTCTGCCCCCTTAGGCGCAGGAGGCACCTGCGCGAGTTTGCAATGCCTGGCCGGGAGGCGTGCACCTGTTTCTGATTGTGTTTGTAAAGACCACAAGAATGTGTGCCTCTTCGTATCTGTGTGTGCATCTCCGAATGTATTTGGGTGGTGGTGACCCAGTGTAGCGGAGGCTGTCTACGTGTGCGTATCTGGGCGTGAGTGTGACAGCACGTGTATGTGTAAGTGTGTGTGTGTGTGTGTGTCCGTGTTTCAAACGTGTGTTGCGTATACAAGGATCTCTGTTATGTAGGTCGCTCTATATCCTGAAGATAGAAGTGGTGAGTGTGTGTGTGTGTGTGTGTGTGTATCTCTGTTTTGTGGGTGGATATGAGTATGCGTGTTTCTGTGCCTCTGAACGCATTTGTGTGTTGTGTAAGGGTGTGATTGATGTCTCTGTCAATGCAGGAGTACTGGAGAGAAACTTCGAGGATGTGTATTTATGCAGGAGTGAGGCTCTTTGTGTCTATGAGTGTGGTCACATGGCTGCGACTGGGTGTATTTGCAAATGTCTGTGTGTGTATTTGTGGTATCTGCAGTGTGTGTTGGGGGAAGGCCCTGATTGTGTGTAGGTGAGGATGTATTTGTGTCTAAGTAGATTTGTATACGAGTGCGTGAATGCGGTTGTGTGCACGGGGATGTGTGTGTGTGAGGAACAGTTTCTGAATGTATTTGGGGGCACATATGTGTGTTTACATATGAGTGCATTTGCGGGTTTGGGTGTATGGTGTGAGCCTCAGAGTGCAGGTTGTGTAAACCGTGAAATTCAGTGTAAGTGTGTGCAAGAACGCCTATTTCTGAATATGTTCATGAAAGTGAAAATGTGCATATTTATCTAGGAATTGCATATTTGTGTGAGTAAATGTATTTGTGTGTGGTATAATCTGATGGTATGCATCAGTGTGAAGGTGTGTGTGCGAATGTGTTATGCGTATAGATATTTGTGCGCATGCGTGCAATTGTATGGACGTTACTGCATATATTTGTAAAATCCCTGTTTGTGGCTAGTTGTTTAATATTTGTATGTTCCATTGTGTTATTGTGTCAAAATATCTGCCTCTTAGCTGTGTGTCAGTGTGTTAGATCTTTACAGCTGGGTGAATGTTTGGATTTTGCGTGATCTGTGAGCATTTACTCGTGCTAACAAGGTGACAAGGTGCACGTGTGTGTGAGCATCTGTTTTCGGAATGTAAACTCAGTATCGGAATGAATCTCCGGATGAGTGAGTGCATTTGTGTATGTGTCCGGGTGTGCCTGGATGTGAGTATGTGACTATGGTTGTGTGTGTAGGCATGCATGTGTGAGTAGCTGTGTTTCGAATGGCTTTGCATGTGTGTAAATGCATTTAAGTGCATCGCGATGCATTCGTGTGTCATGACATGAGTGAGACTGGGTGGGCAGGTGAATTCTGTCTAAGGGAGTATAAGCGTGAGATTGCGCATTTACAGCTACAGAGGGGGTTTCAATCTACACACACATACAGACACCCACATACATGTGACAATCAGTCAGCGTTTTCTTGGCTATATAAAATGCTATGAGGCCAGGCTTGGTGGCTCACACTTGTAATCCCAGCACTTTGGGAGGATCTCTTGAGGCCAGCAGTTCAAGACCAGCCTGGGCAACATAGCAAGACCCTCCCCCTTCTCCCCTCTACAAAAAAAATGAAAAAATTAGCTGGGCACGGTGGTGCACAACTGTAGTCCCAGCTACTTGGGAGGCTGAGGCAGGAGGATCACTTGAGCCCAGGACTTCTAGGTTACAGGAAGCTATGATTGGGCCACTGTACTCCAGCCTGGGCAATGCTGTCTTTAAAAAAAAAAAAAAAAGATGAATGCTATGAGGTGACAAGATGCTACTACAGCATGCAATTGCCCTAGCCCCGCCAACCTCAGATAGTGGCCCCTGAGCCAATGCTTTGTTGAAATTCCAGGGTCCCCTGACATACATTGTACACATGTGTTTGGGGCATGGGTCTCGTGGTCCAGAATGTGTGACTGAGGAGGGGGCTGGGTGTGCCACAGGGAGGGGAACTGGGCCATGGGCTCTCCCGTCCGGATGTGCCCGTGCAGGTGTGGGTGTGGGCACACAAAGGGGCCAGTGTGTGTGTGTTTGAGCACACATGGGGATCTGTATGACACACAAGCCCTGGCTCCCCCGCTCGGAGGACCTGAACCAGGTCTTTTCCCCACTGGGCCTCAGTTTCTCCACCTGTGGCACTGCAGGGAATCGGGAACTCGCAGCATGGGTAGGCGTCCACGGCTGGAAAGGGAGTGCCTGTCATGCTTTGCCCCTCTGTGAGCTTGGCGTGTCCTGCCAGCTTACGTGAGTGTTTGCTTTGCCTGGGAACGTCCCCATGACCTCTGCAGACCCCAAGGACAAGCCTCATGTAGGCGACACCTGCAGCTCACTCCCAAA